CTAAAGTTGTACTACAAAGTGGCCAGTTCTCATCTTCCAGCTCCGCAGATACTCCGCGTACTAAAGTTGTACTACAAAGTCGCCAGTTCTCAGCTTCCAGCTCCCCACATACTCCGCGTACTAAAGTTGTACAGTTCTCATCTTCCAGCTCCGCAGATACTCCGCGTACTAAAGTTGTACTACAAAGTCACCAGTTCTCAGCTTCCAGCTCCCCAGATACTCCGCGTACTAAAGTTGTACTACAAAGTCGCCAGTTCTCATCTTCCAGCTCCGCAGATACTCCGCGTACTAAAGTTGTACTACAAAGTCGCCAGTTCTCATCTTCCAGCTCCCCAGATACTCCGCGTACTAAAGTTGTACTAGAAAGTCGCCAGTTCTCAGCTTACAGCTCCATAGATTACTCAAGTTGTACTACAAAGTCGCCAGAGGGTTGCGCGCACACCCGGCAAATCGCACTCTCGCCTGCATTTCGCGCACTCCACACGCACGATCTCCGCAGAGGGTTGCGCGCGCAGCCGGCAAATCGCACTCTCGCCTGCATTTCGCGCCCTCGACACGCACGATCTCCGCAGAGGGTTGCGCGCGCACCGGACAAATCGCACTCTCGCCTGCATTTCGCGCACTCGACACGCACGATCTCCGCAGAGGGTTGCGCGGGCAGCTGGCAAATCGCACTCTCGCGTGCATTTCGCGCACTCGACACGCACGATCTCCGCAGAGGGTTGCGCGCGCAGCCGGCAAATCGCACTCTCGCCTGCATTTCGCGCACTCGACACGCACGATCTCCGCAGAGGGTTGCACTTTCGGTTGACGCTGTTCGTCCCGCACTCCGCCTTTAAGAGAGAATTTATAAAGTGGGGAAATGTTTTTTCATTAGGATATCTCCCGTGCTAGTTTTCCATACTCACACTTGCCTGCTCATTGCATGCTTGCATACGCACCCTTGCATATCATGGCATACTCACCCTTGCATATCATGCTTGCATACTTACACTTGCATACTTTGACACGGGCATACTTCGCACTTGGATGCTTTCGCTCTTCCAGTGTGTGTGTGTGTGTAAGTGTGGAAGTGTCAGTGTGTAAGTGTAAGTGTCGAAGTGTCAGTGTTCAAAGGATTTTCCGGAAGAACCCTTCGCAATGCTTTCGGGAAAAAGAGGAGAAGAAGGCACTCCGGAAAAAAGGTTGGAGGAGTTCCTCTTTGGACAGCAAGGTGTTAACTACATAATATATTCTTGTCGGTCCATTCACCCGGTATATGTTTGAGTATCGGGCTCGATGTATGATTTTGCAATCCCAATGGATCACACTACAATAAGTCAGCGAAAACGCTGACTTCAGTATCCTATTGCCAGACTCTCTGACAAGGAGGTTCACTGCCTCCGACAGCATGATACGGTGTTGAAATTCTTTCACCTGCCTGAAATATGATGACCAGAGTGAGTCGTTGCCTATGCCGAATGAATTGAACTACCCTAAGAATCCAGGCTCTTCGCCCTCCAATGTTCAAGGGTTCTTTGTTCATTTGTGTCCTTTTCAAGTGCCTTTTGTTCGGATTCTTCGGGTGTTTCTTCAATGAAGGCCTCCTTGATCACGGCTCGGTGGCACCCTCTAAGCTTGTGGCAGGTGCGCTGCAGCACGCGGAAGGTTCGGGTGTTCCCCTGAAGGCACGGGCGCGAATCGTGCTTCCGCTGGTCGGCATTCCATGAGTCCCAGTTGGCTGAGTCCTTATACCCCTGGGATTCCAACAACCATTGTTAATGGTCTTTCCAAACAAACATGAATCTATTGTTTCATTACTAAGTATTTAGACTAACAACGCTAACAACCAGGTCAACCATATGAGTCTATCCTATTACCTGGTTTCAATGGATGATGATGGTTAGTAAAGGCCTTGTTCAAAAATAATGCTAAGTACTTAAGTGTTTACTGACTGTTACAAGTAAAGGCCTTGTTCAAAAATGATGATGATTGTTTACTGACTGTTACAAGTAAAGGCCTTGTTCAAAAATGATGATAAGTGTTTACTGACTGTTACAGGTTTACTAGGACAGACCCTTAACTATTGCTATTACCCAGACACTCCATGTATGCCATATAGGCCTACATTGACCCCTCAAACCAACCCAATGTAATTAGGCATAACCACCCTCAAACCACCCCAAACTGGCGGCGCCATCGTTCCACCTTACCATGTCCTACCAGCAACTTGGAACTTGCAAACACTGTGACTTCCACCCACCCCGGGTCCCACCCCCGATCTCCCCGATCTCCGGGTCCGACCCCCCGGGGTCGCGCTGCCCGAAGCAGCAGCAGCCCGCTCCGCCCGCCGGTGCCTTGATCATCCGATTAGGGCGGAAGTCGTTGGGCGCCGCCCGCTGCGTGCGGGGCACCTGGGGTTCGGCGGGTGGGCACCGAGACGGTGTCGGTGTCGGTCGGGTCCCCAGGGTCGGCCGATTCCGTTGGGAGTCCGTCTGCTGGGTGATGGGAGACGCATGGAGACACTGTTATGTAGGTGCCAAGAGGCTCCAAGTACCTTCTGAGAAGGCCCTAGGGCATATATATGTATATGCATAATTATGCATATATATATATTATATATATATATCGCAGTGCTTCTAAATCTGCAAATGACCACCCTAGTCAGCCTTTCCCTCAATGGTCCCGACTGGTTTTGAAAGAACTTCTCCTTCAAAGGGGAGTGAACCAAGACCAACCCTTACACTCCTGCACCAAATATTCACAATCCAATCGAACTGCAAGGATGTTTGACCATGTTTGACCCATCAACTAAGTATATGAATTGAGTGAAGAAGTGGCGCAAGGCATGCCCCGTGCCACGCCGTGGTGCCTGTAGCCCGGTGCGGCCGGCATCCACGATGTCTACAATGTTCTGAGGCATGTCATCCAGCGCCTGCGCCGGGAAGGCCAAGGATGCTGCAAGTGCAGTGACCCTTCCTTTTGAAGCCACCTTAGGAAAAGGATGGTGTTCATGGTCAAATTGGCCGGTGACAGATGGTGAACGAGAAGAAATGAACCCTCATCCTTCCATGATCGTCCATGATTTCATTGTGTTGGATCTTGTTCAGCATTCCGAATTGTGCTGCATTTGCGCAACCCATGTCGTCTGGGAGTTCGGATCTCCGGTTCCAACCCTCTACAACTCACTCTGTCTGCGCAATGAAACCCGAACATAAGACACTGCCGGGCGTTGAAACTGTCCGAAGCAAACATCTATAGTGGTGCCTTATTATTCTAAGGGTATCTGCCCTTGTTGCAATCGACTTGCAGCCGGTCGTAAGTTCACCCAGGGACTAAAGATCTATATGGCTCATTTTAGCCCCTCCCATCTGGGAATCTCTGATATCACAATCCAACGCCCTGCTCAAAAACAACACGGAAACTGACAGAACACCTCTGGCCCTGGTATGTAACTAAGGAAAGCCAACTTCCAACACTCTTCTTTCAGTGTCCATGCGCCATTAACAAAGATGAATCACACGTGGTGATCAGAAAATGCAACCTACAATGAAATCAAGGACGTCCAAACCTAACGACCACCTCTGCCCCGATCATGACTCATCATATCCCTGCGCTTTTTGCGACTTGGCTTATCCGCCGGGAGCACAGCGATCTTTCTGCACTCCCCGGTGGCCGGTGGCGTGCTCGCGGGGAAAACCCCGCGCCGCGTTTGCGGCGCCACGCCACACGCGCCCGCGGGGGGGCGGGGCAATGGTCATGCAGGATGCACCGGGGGCAAACGGCCAGCGGAAGTGCAGGTCATCTGATTTCACCAAACACAGTGGTACAGGGCGGTGTCTAGCCAGGGACCTCGTGGAAGTCGACGAGCTCAAGCAGCAGGTCGTATCCAACGCCTTTCTCATCTCGAGGGATCCACATGCCCTCTGAGAACAGAGCTGGGGATATTTTAGGCGGGTTTGGATTTTGGGTGATGGTCCAACAACCTTTTCAGGTGGTGGTGCTGATCCGACCTCCAGTCAGTGACGGAAGCCAGATCAGCAGGTGTTCCTGTGGATCTATAGAAGTGATGTATTCAGGATCTACACTCTCTTCCACGATCATGCTTCCGGGGAGCTGACCCTGACTGGGCTTTGTTATACACCCACACCGGACTTATACCCACCATCGACTTTTGATCCACCTGTCACTTAAAAAGTGCCAACTTAGGCCTCACCATTCCGCATGAACGAATAAGTGGCACCAACAACTGGCCATGTTTTTTTGGGAAGCTGGTCTAGAACCTTCACCTCCTCCGAACCCGCTCTCCGCTCGGCTCCGACCCCGAGGGCCCGCTCCGAACGCCGGCTCCGAGCCGGCGGTTCGCGAGCCGAACCGGGCGCGCTCAGGTCAGGCGTGGCAAGCGAGGATCGGGTCCTCGGCCTGGGTCCCAAGCGTTCGTTTGGAGTGTCGAGGCCAGGCGGCCAGTGTTGAAGAAGGACCGCACATGGCAAAGGTGTTTGTTGCGCATGTAAGAGGAGTTGTAAAGAATGAGTTCCCTACCAGGTATGCCTCTTCTTTGGGGTCACAACAGTTCGAGTCAGCACATGCGCACCCGCTGATGTCGATCCTGTACCAAAGTAGAAATCATGGAATTATAGAAAATGGAACAATAGCCGTTCTATGTTGCAAACCATTATACTAATAAAATGGGTCCTCGAAAAAAGGGCTCTAGCCATCCCTTTTTATTTTGAGTGTAGGCACGGCTATATGGAACAAGTCAAAAGATTTCACAAGGCAACACGATTCGTAGTGAAGTTCTGAATAAATTGGATTGGTAATTAATCATTGACTTAGAGGATGCATATCAGCTTCCCGGAGCAAGCGAGGCCCTTCTGGCTAGTGTGTTAACCCAGGCATCAAGTACCGCAGCATATCTGGATGAGTCGAATCCAAGTAAATTGTGATGGATAAGCTGCTCAAGCATCTAAAACCGGAACAATTTAATAGGAACAAATGAGAAGAAAAATCAAAGCAAGAACCTTATCTATCAACTATCGATCTGTCAAACATTCCAAAGCACCAGCCAAATCATGATCCAGCTGTGGATTCCCTTTGTGTCCAGCCCTTCCCACGGCACGCCATCGACAAAACCACTTCCCTTCGCCCGACAAGACCAGCGGCCATCGAAGGGACCTGTGGAGCAGTTGCTGTAGAGTGCCAGTTTCGTGCGGGGCCATCTGGGTGTGTCAACTGGGGAGACCTCCCAGGTCAACTGGGGAGACCTCCTTGTCTCCATATTTTAAAACACTTTCCCATCTTGCACTTTGGGGGGCCGAGCTACACAAAACCGACGTGTGGGTGTGACCTGCCATTAAAAAAACATCCCATCATTCCAATCATCCAACCCTATAAGAATCATTGGACCCTCCTATGGAGGGTTTGGACCCTGCATAGCAGGGGTTTGGACCCTCAAAACCTTCACCTTTGAGGGTCCTTGATTCTTAGGGAAGAATCTTTGGGCCAGTTGGGGTCTGAAAACCAGAGTCCACCTTTGGGTGTCTTCTCCAAGCGGCTCACGTTGGCCTCGAGGTAGAAAGGTCCCGCATGTGGAGCTAACAAGTACTGCTTGGCAAAGGCCATTCTGTCAGCCGGGTCACTAGCCAGATATCGAGTGCCAAGCATTCTACGAAGGAATGCTGTTAGCGTTGTGCCCAACGACCCCCCCGGAAGGAAAATCAACCTGTCCGAGTCCACCAATTCTTTTTTGGGGGGGATCTCCTTTCTCCCTAGAAAAAGATATGGACCCCAACCTTGGCGGACGCCTCGCTCCGTGGCGCACCGCTCGCCGAACGCCGCGTTGCTCGGGGGCGCGTCTGTCTCGCCACCGCCTGGCTTCGGGCGTTGATTCCTCTGCACCTGGCGGCTCGACGGAGCGGCCACGACGTGTACCGCGAGTTCGGTGCGCAAAGTCCCAGCGATCCGCTGGGTGGAACTCGCAGAGAGCCCTACACGCCTGGACAAAACCTTCGCCCTGGAACTAGGTGGCAGAGCTTGGCAGATGGTGGGCAGATGGCTTCTGGCCTTTAACTTTGCTTTCAACCGCAGCTGTGCAGGACTGTCATGAACAGTCTGAATCCTTCCAAAATTCATCCAATGGGCTACAGTTCGATCCTCAAGAAGTGCTCTAATGTCAGCACTAACACTTGTGAACTCAGAGACTCAGCATGGAAATGCGAGCGATTTGATGGGATCGAAGAGCTGCGGGCAAATTCTCAAGAGTCTATATAGATTGGATTCCCATGGACTCATCAAATTCGAATAGCTGCGAGTTGAAGACAGGATGCGACACTGTTGTACTGGATGGAGAAGGTACTCCACTATTACCGCTGTACTTGGTCTACAGTACATGAGAACATGTTCTCCGTGTCCATCTACAATATTCTATAATATTCGAATATACATTCTATAATTGTACATGTTGCGTCGGTGTTTTTAAACGTGAGCATACCGAAGGGTAGCCATTCAGGCCCCTCTAGCCCTCTTCATTCCCAATCGGAAACAAAAGAAAAGGGGGTCCTTAGCTTGCCCCCACCCCCAGACTCACCCAAAACAGCGCTCCCTCACATCCCTCTAACGTCGTCCTCTGAGTCTCAGAGCCATCCGATCAAGAACCCTCCTCCTCCTCCTCTGCGCAGGACGCGCGCACGACCCTCCCTCGTCCCAGCTCCCTCCTCGAGCGCATCCTCCAAGAGCTGCCGTGCTCGAACGCCCATCTCTGCCTTGAAAGGCCCCCGTGGTGTGGCGGTCATCATCGATTTCGGTGGAAGGCCATCTTCCGTGGGGAGCCTATAGGCTGCGATCCTCCCATTAACCCCTATCAGCATCATGGTGGAGCTGGTCAAATCATCTATTGAATACAGTCTAATATTGCTTCAAACCGGAAGACCCAGACCTGCCCCCCTTCCTCACAAACCTATCGCCATTCCCTGTCGCTCAAAACCCACTGGCTTGCTCCGTGTTGCATTCAGTAGAGGGAGTCCCATATTTTTTCACTACACTCCTCACGTTGCAGGGAAGTGGAATTCCAGGGTTCCATGGAAGTGCCCCGTGGAATTTGGCTTGACAAATATAGGTGTTTAGGTCCACGCAAGCAAGCGTGGAACCGTGGAACCGTGCGAGGGGACTCAAGGAACCTCTTTCCACCCCAAATTGCTTGGTACCCCTCGTTCTTGACTGTGTGAAGAAATTCTGGAGGTCTTCCCTGTCACTTCTGACCAAGTATTTGGGTGTATATGTTCAATAGGGAGGAACCCCCCCAAGGTTTGGATCCACTTCATTCGAGAAAGGAGACCCACGCATGTCTCCTCCGCGGCCTCCTTGACATGATGGTGCCGATGGTGGTGTTCGATCTCCGCCCTCCCACGGCCGCGAGTCGAAGGCGGAGATCCGCGGGTCGACCGACCGACCGTTCGCGGTGATCAGGGTGGACGGGTTGGGCCTACATGTTTTGATGCCCAAATGAGTGGATGCTCAGATATGCTCGGCTTAGTGGAGCCAGAACTGGCTCCGTGGGTGGAGGGAACCCACAGCTGCAAGTCCTCCACTCTTCAGTTCTGGCTCGATGAGTGGAGCCGAGCTTAGTTCAACACACCCAAGTTTCTTCCGAAGAGTTACTGGAAGATTAGCGCCACCCACGTGCAGAACTCAAACCAGCAGGCAAAACGTGGCTCAAGTGTTGACATCTTGCTGGGATTTGTTTTGTCTCACACTTGGGACCTGAATCTGGTAACGATTGTGGTTTGCGAGGAACCCTCTCCCACAAGCCCGTGTCATTCTAATTCCAGTTCCACTTGCAGATGTATTCAATGATCCATGTTGACGAAACAAAAACTCCACTCAAAGGAGAACAGGCGCTTTTTGAGCCTACCTCATCGGACCCGGAGCATTTCACCA